GCTCTGGAGATTGCTCCACAGAAATTGCCAGCTAGTGGCTGCCAGAAATCCCAGCTTGCTGGGAAACGGGCAGGGAGCAGGGATGACTCAGAACACGGTTCAGCCCAGGTGGGTCAGGGGAGACCATGGCTTCCAGAGTCAGGATCCAGGTGTTTTAACCCAAACGAGCTACCCAGGGTCTGTAACATGGACCCTGTTCCTCCATTCATTCACTCACCGAACCTTTACTAAATTCAGTGTGGGAAAGCTCTGCTTTACTTTTTGTTGACGTAGCCCATACACACAGGAAAGTGCACGTACGGCAAGTGTGCAGCGTCACGAGCTGGCGTGAACGGAGCGCAGCCGGGTGACGAGCACCAGGACTGAGGAACGGTCCTCGCCAGCGGCCAGAGCCCTCCGCGGGCTGCCTGCAGTCACGCCCGCTCTCCAAGGGCAACCACGGTCCTGGCTTCTAACAGCAGAGATTCCTTTCGCCTGTTTTCCAGCTTTACAGAGATGGGATCACATAGTATGTGTTCTTTGGAACCTGGCTTCTTTTGTTCAACATCCATGCCACTGGAGCGGCTGAGCATGGCTCATGCTCGGTGGGTACGGTCCCCACCGTGTGCGGATGGGCACCGACGAACTGCAATGAGGGGACCGCGGTGCAGCCTGGCAGCAAACCTGAAGCATGTGAGCTCAGTTCATTCGTGCATGCATTCATTCACTGCCCGTGAGAGCCCCTCTACCTGTGAGGATGAGCCCCCACCTGGGGCTCAGAACCTGGAACTTCACACCTTGACAGATGACTTGGGACAAGTCTTTACTGGGGGATCCAGTTCCCATATCAGAGGGAGGAAACCCAAATGTCTTCATGGACTCTGAGCAGGGGCCCGAGGCACGGCCGTCCCACCGTGGCGGACCCTGGGTGCTCAGCCGTCGCCTGCTCCTGCAGGGCAGGCCTCCTGCCTCCTTCGTCCTGGCCCCGCGCCCAGCCAGAGCTGCCAATAGTTGCTGCTCAGGAGTGTAAAAACGGCTGGCACACCGAGGCTCAGCTGGGGCCTGGCGAGGGAATAAAGGTCTGCTACCTCACCCAGATATTTCCGCCACTTCTGGGGAAATAAATGGGTCGCCTTTGGGTGACAACGGCCAGGGGAGACCTGACCGGCAGTGCAGGCAGAGGACACAGCATGTGCGCTTAGTGAGTCTCAAACACAGGTACGGTCGCCCTCACCACTTCGCACTTCGACTTTCGCGGCTTCCCTCTATCGCGGTTTTTTCAAATATACAAGTGATACCTCGGTTCTCGAACATAATTCGTTCCAGGAGGACGGTCGAGAACCAAATTGTTCGAGAACCGAAGCAATGAAACCCAATAGGAAATAATGGAAACTGGATTAATTCGTTCCAAGCCCCAGAAAATGCCTATTTACTGGCCTAATTTGTATATAATATGTAGAAAAACATAAGTCTCAACAAGAAATGAAAGTGTACAGTATGTCTAAGGGTTAAATTCAGTGTAAAGCGTGACTCTCTCCACAAAGCGTGACTCTCTCTCTGCACTCACACTGATGGCGCAAGCAAGGCGCGCTGGGCCGAATGAACGCCATTCGGCTCAACTCGGCTCATCTCGGAAGTTCGAGTTCCAAATATTTGTTCGGATTCCAAGACAAAAGTTTCTCGAATCACCTGGTCGAATACCGATTTGGTCGAAAGTCAAGGCGTTCGAGAACCGAGGTATCACTGTATTCATTAAAAAGTTGATCGAGACAGTGAAAATGATACAGCGCGCGCTCAGTTGTCTGAGTCGGTTATACACCCCTGTATTACAGTTAAAATTAAAATTACTGTACGTGTGGACTGTAGGCCTGTGTATTCGAGCACCCCAGGAATCCTTCAACGCAGGTGCGACTGCTGCAACAGATTAATTGCAATAAATGAGGGACAACTGTACACCCCAAAACCTAGCTGGGCCAGTTCCACCACAACCAGCTGCCAGCTATTCTTGAGGCCTGTGGTCGGGCCCAGAGGTGGTAGCAAATGCTCGATGCCTCAGTTTCCTCTTCTGTAAAATGGGGATTAAATGAGCAATGTATGTCGAGGTCGCAGAATGGTACCTGGCACGCGGTAGCACTGCTTGGAGCCAGTCAGTGTGTGAGTCGTGGTTAGTATCACAGTTTGCAGACCAGGAGGGAAGTCACAGGGCGAGCAGGTGCAGGGTGGGAATCTAGGAGAACGTTCTTTGCAGGACAGTACACCTGGGCTCAAACTCCCCGTGTGGCCCTGAACAGTCCCTCATCTCTGCAGCCCGGGCTTCTCGCCTGTGAAACGGACAGTGTGGTGAGGACACCTGAGGGCCTCACTCCCGCAGATGCCTCAGGAGGGCCAGGCTGGGAGGTCCGGGGAGAGGCCACCGGCACACCCCGCTGACCCCCAGGGAGAGCGAACATGCTTGAGAGGCAGCAAGTACGTGAAAATTGCTGCCACTTAGCAGCAAAGCTAGCCCACCCAGCCTCCTTGTAAACATGTTTATAGGAACAGCCAGAAGGTCCTCGGCGAGGCCACCAAGCCCTGAAAGTAAAATCACGAGGCCAGTAAAACACGAAGATACAACCTCTCCAGGACCCTTGGTCCTCATAAAAGCAGCAGGAATAAAGGTCTGGTGTTTCCAGGAGGCACAGCAAGCCATCTGTCACTGACCATGGACACACACATGTGCACACATACTCACATGTGCACATACATTCATACATGCTCACACTTGGACACACACATCTACCCAAATGCTCACATGGGCACACATGCACACATGTGCACACCTCCATGCACACGCATGCTCACCCTCCAGCATGAATGCATGCACACACACGTAGGACATGCAAATTCTCACAGAAGCACCTGCTCGCAAAATGCACACACTCTCAATAGGACACACGCACATGTATGTGTGTGTACACACAGGCCTGCTTCCTGGAAACCAGACTTGGAGCCGAGCTGACCCTGGAACTCTCAGGCCTTGGGGATTGTGGGAGGAGCATCCTAGAGGGCTGCCTGCAGGTACACAGTGCACAGAGGGGTACAGAGCATGGGTTCATCCCCTGCTGGGACAAGAGACTTGAGTTCCTTAATGTCTCTAAACCTCAGCTTCCTCGTCTGTCAAGCAGAGTGAGAATGTCGGCGCTTTCCTCACAGGATGTGGGGAGGTTTCTCAGTTAAAACATGCAAGTGCCTGCCACGTAGTAACTGTTCAATAAATATCAGCCGTTCATTAGTAGTCATATTCATAGTGTTTCCCAGAGACCTGTTTGGAAGCTGGGGCTGGAGGTGCTCAGCCTGAGACTTCAGGGATGGCTGCGAGGAGCAACTAAAGAAGATACAGCCACGGAGACGCCAAGGACATGGAGTCCGTCCACCTCCACTCCAAAACCTTGCTTAGCGGAGGTTCCCTGCCATGTGACCCTCAGTCTCACCAACTGCCTCTTGGCTGGAGCGTTCCAAGGAGACAGTGTCTGCACGACAGGAATGTCACCAGCCTCCGTGACACACTGGATGGGGTCAGAGACGCAGCCCCCCAGGTCTCTGAGCCTCCTGACACTACAGGGACACTGCAAGCTCAGTCCTACCCTCAGGGAGCACAGTGGCCACACGTCCTGGACTTGAGATTTTCCCCTGAGCCAAGCACGCCAAGGTGCCCCATGTTGAGAAAGTTTGTATGACTGGACTTTTGCCTCTGTTTCCCCACCCCAACCCGCAGGACCAGAGCCCTCTCCTCATGTCCAGGTTGTTTGAAGACACCTGCGTGCTCTTCTCTCCCGGCCGACGGGGAGGTGGCCACACGCCACAGTCCTGTGGCCGCAAACCCTCCAGTATCCATTCTCCTTCTTCCATAAGATAAAACCCTGGCTTTCAGCTGAGCTCAGTGTTGCCCAAGATAAAGACCTCATTTCCCAGCCTCCCTTGCAGCTAAGTGTGGTCACATGATCGAGTTCTGGCCAAGGAGACAGGAGCAGGTGCTGTGGGAACCTTAGAGTGGACATGGAAGCTTCCCCTTTGCCCTTCGTCCCTCCTGCCGCCTAGAATGGCAGATGTGACGGCCGGAGCGCTGTCCGCTCTCTTGGGACGAGAAGACAAAGGCCGGAGGGGTGATGGAGAGGGCAGCAGGGCCTGCACCCTGAGGACTCCATGGAGCAGAGGCTCCCTGGGCTGCCAAGTCCCAAACTTTTATGAGAGAGTAAGTATGTTTCTCCACTGAAGCCAGTTCTTTCGGATCATATTACTTGCAGCCAAACCTAACCCCGGCTGCTGTGCCCCCTCCACACGCAAGGGGTTTTCGATCCTCCTCCTCCTGCCTCATGCGGCTCTGAGCATCACCGTGGGCTCAGAAGCACCAGCGAGACCTCTCTGCATAGCAGTGTCCAGTCAGGTTGGGCCTCCCACACCTGTGAGACCTCTCTGCATCGCGGTGTCCGGTCAGGCTGGGCCTCCCACACCTGTCAGACCTCCCTGCATAACGGTGTCCGGTCAGGCTGGGCCTCCCACACCTGTGAGACCTCCCTGCATAGCGGTGTCCAGTCAGGCTGGGCCTCCCACACCTGTGAGACCTCCCTGCATAGCGGTGTCCAGTCAGGCTGGGCCTCCCACACCTGTGAGACCTCTCTGCATAGCAATGTCCGGTCAGGCTGGGCCTCCCACACCTGTGAGACCTCCCTGCATAGCGGTGTCCGGTCAGGCTGGGCCTCCCACACCTGTGAGACAACAGAGAAGGGACTTCGGGCTTCTCTCGCACCGAGGTTGCCTGACCCCAGCTCTCACATCCTACCTCCTGCACAGCCCACTGTGCCGTGGGAGTGACGAGTGTAATGCCTCCCACACCTCGCACAGGCAGGGGGCAGGTGGCCCTCCCCACGTCACCGGCTGCTGGAGAAACTCGGAGCCACAGCAGGGATGGGGCTCCCTGGCCCATGGCCAGGCCCACCGAGGGAGCGAGCGAAGGCTTGCACGCCCGAGCAGGGCACACCTACCTTTCTCCGATGCTGGGGCCAGGTCGATGAAGCTGCGGCATGTTTCACCTTTGAAAAGAAAAGAAGGTTTTTCAGAACATGAGCGCCGTAGGCTTTCGCCTCTCCCCCTCCCGTGAGCCCTGTGGCCGAGGGGGACCGAGCACCTCTAACCCGGGTGGCATCTTTCTCTGACCCTTATTCCGGGACAGATGGTGTCCCTGCGGAATGTGGGCTGCACAGCACCCTGATGCCACCTCCTCTCTCACCTGCCCGCCCAGTGCAGGCCTGTCCTCCCATGTCAAAGCCCGTCCCCTTCCCTGGCCTCCACATGGTCCAGGCGGGACGAGGGCCACAGCCCCGCCCTGGGCTCCCCTGGCCTCTGTTCAATCCAGTCTCCACACTGAAGCCAGAAGATGCTTTCAAAACACACAGCTCTGATCACGTCCAACACGCGCGCACACACACATACACACAGATACACACATGTGTGCACACTCCTGCTCAAAACCCGCTGATCTTTGCCCAAAGGATGAAGCCCAAATTGTTCACCTGCACCCAGGACGGGCCTCCTGTGGCCTCTGCACCCACACCCCCTCCCTCCTTCCTCTCAGCTCCCGTGTCCTCGAGTTCCCTCCCACCACCAGGGCTTCACGCACGCTGTTCCCCCTGCAGAACCTGTTTCAAGCTCCACGGCCCCTCCGCCTTCTCCCCCAGGGCATCCCGTCACCTTACAATTCCTCCCGTGCGTGGTTCTGGGACGGATGGCCCGCATGCTGCAGGCCCCTCGAGGGCAGGTACCATGCCCTCAGTGCGCCCCCAGCTCAGTAACGGCGACGCCACCTCCCAGGTGCTCAGGCCAAAGCCTCGATTTCTCTCTCTCTCTCACACCTCCACGTCTGATCTGTGGCTCCCGCTTCCCAGGACATCTGGACTGCGACCACTTCTCATCACCTCCACTGGCCCAGCCACCATCATCTCCCACCAAGTTTGGTGCAGTAGCCTCTGCAACGGGTCCCCCTGTTTCTGCCTTATCCACACGGTGGCCAGAAGGAGCCTGTTATAACCTAAGACTGTTTCTCTGTTCAGAACCCTCCTATGACTCCCGATTCAGAGTCAGAACCTACATCCTCACCGTGGCCTGCAAAGCCCTGTACAATCTGACCCTCATAGCCCCCGACCTTATCTCCTAATATCTTCCCCCCACTCTCTGTTCCAGCCACACCAGCCTCCTTGATGATCTTTAAATGTGCCAGGTACATCCCTGCCTCAGGGCCTTTGCACATGCTGCTACTTCTGCCTAGAGCATTCTTCTTCCAGATAGCTAAATGGTTTATCCTTCCTCTCCTGTATCACTTTCCTCAAATGTTGCCTTGTCAGGGAGGCCTTTCCTGACTAATCGATTTAATATTCCAAACGTCCCCACCCTGACACCCCCTACCTCTATTCCCACAGGACCGCTGTCACTTAGAGTAGTGCCTGCTACACAGTTAGTGCTCAATAAATATTTGTTGAAGGAGTATATGAATGAATGAACGAACAAATGAATAGATGAGCAAACAGGAAATGAGTGAATGAATGCCTCCTACCTGGACACTGTGCCTTAGGCAAGTCTGTCCCCTAAGACTCCTTGATGCCAAGCACTGCGTGGGCCACCTAGAGGCAGTGATGAGTAAGACACGGCCCAGGCCCCAGGCCCTTTCTTGTGAAGGGAGCATTCACTGGACCCCTCCCCAAACACACAATGTTTGGCCCACACAGAATCCTAAAAATAGGAAAACTGTTCCCTACAAATCCAGACTTCTGCTTTTCTCTTGAAAAACCAGAAGAACGGGCCATGCTGGCCCCAAACCCCCCAGAGCAACAGTCAGAGGGGGCTGGGCAGATGCTGCCTCCTTCAGCTGGGCACATGCCTCCAGTTTGCCATGGTGGCCGCCACTCCCTGCTCTCCACTCCCAGCCTCACCTAGACCGCCCAGCTGGCCCCTGGACCCGGACTGCACCACCTTTAGAGTGAGCTTGCGACCCCTGGTTTAAGTATTTTACTGCTGACTCCAGCAAGGAGATAGATTTTGGATCAAAATGGAACCAGTGTGAGTTGGGAGATGAAAAAAATTTGGAAGCTTCCAGCATTGTCACCTCTCGTGTCTGCGTAGAGCTTCCCAGGTTCTGTAAGAAGGCCCCTGGAGCCCACCTGGGCTCCTGAACCTCCCCCTCGCCCCGCGGACACACAGGCGCACGGGTGGTGGAGGTGCGGGGAACAGGCGAGCCCAGATCACGAAGATCTCGAGTGCTGAGCCAGGGAGCAGCCCCGATGGCCCTTCCGGAGCTCGGGCCTCCGTGGGCCGGGCCGCCCCTGTGGGTCCAGCGCCAGCTTCCTCTGGGCTCCACCCCGGGCGCAGGCCCTCGCCTCCCTTACAGACGAGGATGTAAGGCTCAGGCCGCCGAGTGACCCGCCCGACCAGCCGAGCCACAGCCAGTCTGCGGCGCCGAGGTCCTGACCCACCGGCAGAGATGCTGGCTGACGTCCGGCCAAGAACAGGACGGGAGGATTTAAACCCTGAACACAGATGATGAGCCAGGACGCATGGATTCTGAATGAATTATTTGAAGTATCTTTAATGTTCAGATTGTTTCCTCAAAGCTGGAGAGGGACAATTTTAACGGTCAAATTCAGACCAGCACCCGGGCTAAATTAAGACTGGGGGGGGCCCCAGGCACTCTGCCTTTTGCATCCCTTCCTACGTAAAAATAAATTAAAACATATAGTTTATTACCGTATTAGCTAAATATGAGTATATTAATGTTATATTACATTTTTTCTTCACCTAAAGGTTTACTTTTTTTCTCTGATGTTAAGAGAAATTAAAACATTCTTATGGGCCCGGGACAGCACTGTGGGCCCTGGGCTCTGTGCCCCGGGCCCGAGCGAGGGGTCAGCGGGCAGTTCCAAGGCCCCTGGCCCCGCATCAGTGTTTCCTCCACCCTGGGTTCCTCGGTACTATTGAAGATTTATTTGTGTGCTACGTGTCTGCTTTCTATTTTTCTAACAGTTTTCTTGAGATATAATTCACATGCCATGATTTACTCTTTCGAAGTATACAATTCAAAGCTGTTTTTTTTAGCATATGCTTAATATATTCTCAAGGTTGCCTGACCATCACCACAACCAACTTTAGAACATTTTCCGCACCACCCCCAGCCCCCTGCCCGTGTTCCTTCTCTGCAGACGTGGCCTGTCCTGACTTCTCACTCAGCAATGGTGACAAGGTCCATCCACGTTGCAGCATGTGAAATGCACCGTATTTTATTTATCCATTCATCGGTTGATGGTCATCGGGGTTTGTTTTCACTTTTTAACTGTTTATAAACATTCATGGACACGTTTTGTGTGGACACGTTTTCATTTCTCTTGGGTAGATATCTATGAGTGCAAATGCTGGGTCACATGGTAATTCTACATATAACTTTTTGGTAACTTCTACACTGTCTCCCAAGGAGGTGACTGTTTTATGTTCCCACCAGCAATGTATGAGGGTTCCAATTTCTCCACATCTTTGACAACACCTGTTATTGTCTCTCTTTTTGTATTGTAGGCATCCTTGGTGGTGGGGAGTGCTAGCTCATTGTGGCTTTGGTTTGCATTTACTTAGTGGCTAATGATATTGAGCATCTTTTTATGTACTTATTGGCCATTTTTGGAGAAATTCAAGTCCTTTGTCCATTTTTAAAAAATTTTTTTTCTTTATTGATGTTAGAGATAGGATGAGAGAGGGAGAGAGAGAGAAACATTGATGAGAGAGAACATCAATTGGCCGCCTCCTGCATGCCCCTCACTGGGGATCAGGCCCACAACCTGGGCATCGGGCCCACAGCCTGAGCATGTGCCCTGACTGGGTATTGAACCAGTGACCTCTTGGTGCATGGGTCACTGAGCCACACTGGCTCCTTTGCCCAGTCTTAATTGGATTATTTGTTGTTGGGTTTTTTTTTTGTTTGTTTGTTTTTGTTCAGGTAGAGTGGGAGGGAGAGAGAGGAACAGAGAGAGAGAGAGAGAAACATCGACGTGAAGGGACACATCGAGTGGCTGCCGCCCGCACGACCTACCAGGGCCGGGGACAAATTGCAACCGAGGTACGCGCCCTCCTTAGCGGGGAACCGAACCCGGGTCTCTCAGGACCGCAGGCCGACGCTCTAACCGCTGAACCAAACCGGCCAGGGTGGATTATTTGTTTTTTAGTTATTGAGTTGTGAGTGTTCTTTATATATTTTGCATACAAGTACCTTATCATATATCTTATTTGAATATATTTTCTCCAATTCTGTGAATAGTTTTTCCACTTTCTTCATTGTATTCTTTGAAGTGTCTGAGTTTTAAATTTTAATGAATTTAAATTTTTTTTAATTAAAAAAAATCTTATGTGATTTTTCTTGTTGCTTGTGCATTTCTGTCATATCTAAGAAGGCTTTGCCTAACCTAAGATCATAAAGACTTAGTCTTATTCTTTCTTAGAGTTTTATAATTTTAACTCTTACCTTTCAGTCTATTATCTATCTAGAGTTCGTTTATGTGTATGGTACATAAAAGGTGTCTAACTTCATTCTTTTGCACATTGACATCCTATTGTCCCATTTGTTGAATGGCTATTCTCTCCCATTGAATCAATTTGGCACCTTTGTCAAAGATTAATTGACTATAAATGTGAAGTTTTTTTTTTTTACTTCAATTCTATTCCACTGATGTATAAATCTATCCTTATTTATTTATTTTTTTTATCCTCACCCGAGGACCTTTTTCCATTTTTTGTTCAGGTAGAGTGGGAGGGAGAGAGAGGAAGAGAGAGAGAGAGAGAGAAAGAGAGAGAGAGAGAAACATCAACGTGAAAGGGACACATCGGGTGGCTGCCACCCCCACGACCAACCAGGGCCGGGGACAAACTGCAACCGAGGTACATGCCCTTAGTGGGAACTGAACCCAGGTCTCTCTGGACCGCAGACCAACGCTCTAACCGCTGAGCCAAACCAGCGAGGACTAAATCTGTCCTTATATAGCTACCACACTGATTTGATTAC